AAGTGAAAGGCGTCAATATCAGCATCCTCTCCAAGGTGAACTTTGTTACGTAAGGTTCCCGATCAGAATCGTTTGTTTGGAAAGCTGAACGTTGTTTACGCAGGACATGGCCACCCTCTCCGCCTTCTAGATGTCTCGCGCATTGGCCTTATTAGAAATGACATTCTCAAGGACGATTGTAGGATACAGAATGGAATCTGCTTTGCTGCAGTTGCAGGGGAAGAAGAAACGTTTCCCTCTTTTATTCTAAGGTTTCTTCCACAGCCAGTTAGAGGGGCTGCCGGTTTGAAGGGTAAATGCAAGGATTCCATTGGTTGCTATCAAAAGAAGGAACCTTGTCATAAAAAAGGGTGTCAGATACCTGGATTGTCACAATGTGATATTTTGCATCTACAAGATCTGTCATTAAAATAGTGCAGGACTAAGTGGTTTTACATGTGAGTTCTAAATTTTCAAAGACTAGACAACTATTTAAACACATCAGAGAACAGAAAAAGATAGAAAGCTCATCGTCATGAAGCTATAGTAAGTCTAAAGCCATTACCTACTTTAAAATAATATGGAACAATTGACGATCACTTTTACTTATGAATATAGGCAGGAAATTAAAAAAAAAAAGTAAATCAACTCTAGTAATACATTAAAGGACCGATGTGACTCCTAGAGTTTGACCCAGGAATTCAGGAATAGGTCAGGCACTGGAGAAGTGTAATTTAATACTTTTAAGAAATTGAAGGAGTAAAAACAGTCATAATAATGCTAAAAGTTCCACTGGCCATTCTTAATTTTTTAAAACTTCCTTTACGATAGAGTGAATCTTCCAAACCTTTGAAAGTTATTCCCTAGAAATGAATAGTAAACATTTAAAATAAACACTGAAAGCATTTTTACTAAAATGGAGAAAAGAGGACTCCCTTCTGCTACCACTAACGTCAGCTACAATGGGTGGTGGTATGTTATAGGTAATGCTGTAAGGTAAGAAAAAAATTAAGTCTAAAAATGATCACTACTTGCAGTTGATAAAATTTTCATATCTAGATAAGAGATTAAAATGAAAAAATTGTTGGCCCTGGCCAGTTTGGCTCAGTGGTCAGAGAGTTGGCCTGTGGACTGAAGGGTCCTGGGTTCGATTGTGGCTAAAGGCACATACCTTGGTTGCAGGTTCACCCTGGTCATGGCACGTGCGGGAGGCTACCAATCGATGTTTCTTTCTCACATCAATGTGTCTCTCCCCCTCCAGCCCCCAGCCAAAAAGCAACGGAAAAAATATCCTCACATGAGGATTAAAAAAAGAACTTGTTGAAAGTAAAAAGCAAATTTCAGTAAGTTCGTCACATATAATATAATACACAGAAACCAATAGGTTTTTGTTTTTTTTTATACTGGCATTAATCTGATAGAAATAGAAACGGGGGGGGGG